TAGAATAGAATAGAATAGAATAGAATAGAATAGAATAGAATAGAATAATTTATTGGCCAAGTGTGATTGGACACACAAGGAATTTGTCTTTGGTGCAAATGCTCTCGGTGTACATAAAAGAAAAGATACATTTGTCAAGAGTCAAGAATCATCAGGTCCAACACTTAATAACAGTAGTACTTATACCAGTTTATACTTATATGTTTATATGTTACGTTCATACTTATACTTGTTCTCTCATCCATGCTTGACAAACAAAAATAAATAAATAACATAAAATAAAATAAATGTCCCTCTCTCATCCGAGTCCTTACCTGCCCCCCGAACAGCCCATAGGCCAACGACAATTTTGGAAAACTCTCTGGAGATAGGTGCCATTTTGGATGTGACAGGAAACGGTCTTGGTCACTGTGTAGGAACACCAGTTTCTGAAAGAGACCACAAAGGCAGGATGTCAACAAGGGCAGCCCCTTGATTTAATGTTGCTCCTGACAGCATCAACTTTGAAGTTCACCACAACCCCGGTGAGTTGGCCATGTGGCGCCTCAGGCCCAGAGCCCACGTTTCCACGCTGTAAGACTTCAAAAGTAAAGCTCATTTTGATTTAAAGAAAGGCCTTGCAATCCGTCCAAAACTGGAGTGCCAGCCTAGAATCTTGTAAACTTACCAAACTCTTAGGAGACACCATCCAGTAAGATCAGATGCTCTTGCAAGATTTCGACCATCAAAATATACCCCCTGCTTCGCTATAAAACTAGCACAGAGAATTACAAGCCCCATTTAACTCATTTTTTGGTTGAATTCACTCAAATGGAGTTTGTCTTTGAGCGTGACCTATGTAATTTTTATGCATCCATGCAGTGTGCTGACTTGCAACCTTTCGCCCCTGAAAAGGATGGCGCATTCTATGTGATAAGGATGTGCCAGTGATGAACTGCTGTATGGGAAAGAGGATGCTGGTTAGATAAGCCTGGTCTTTAGCCAACTTCTCCTACAAGCTTGCAAATTAATACGTGGATTTCAGGCGCCAGCTAATTCAGCTAGGATTTCCACATATACACAAGATAGAGATGAGAGGAAGGCTACAAAGCATATGGAGAAATTAAAGTCTTCTTATACCTTTAAGATTCTTAGAAGTCGAATAACTGCATTGTAAAACTCTCTAACTTAGATTTACATCTTTCCTTCAAAAGACAAATTGTCTTTCCGGCAATATTTACCTTTCATTATCTCATCTCCTATTGTCCTACTAATTGATCACAATTGACCACTTAAGGAGGCTATTAACAGCATACTTCAAAGGTGTGGATCCGGATGGAAGTTGCTACATTCCCAAAGAGGTATGTTTCCTTCCCAGGGGGTGATGTTGGGGTGAAACATACCAATCCAGGAAAACAGATGGATTCAGATTGATTTAGATGGAGAGGGATGTAACTGATTGCAGGCATAATTGTTTTACAACAAGTGGAAGGTTAAGGAAACCTTTTCTACAACAGCAAGATAAGGAATGCCTATAGAGTGATAAATGCTTCACAGAAATACTTCTACACATACAAGAAAACACATGCCTTACAGCAAGATAGCAAATGCCTATAGAGTAACTCTCTGCTTAATGCTTAGTATAATATATCTCACGACATTTCTTTAACTACATTTCTTTAGTTCTTTATTACAATCCCCATCAGTTTATTTCTTTGCTTTCCAAGAAAGAGAATCCAGGGCAGGATCTTTGGGATCTCCCTGGGAGAGCCAGATCATCCAGACCGTGGTGGCTTAACTCAAACAAAAGCTATCTTTCTCCACCACCCCTCAATGCAGCCCGGCCGTTCACCCCAGCTGAGGAAGGCTACTGGGGAGCTGCTGAAGGCGTTCATTGTTGGCGTGGAACCACACGGGCTCTTGGCCATTTGGCCAACAAAGAGGAGATCGGGTGCTGGGTGCCCGTCACACAGGAGGTGGGAGGAAGGAGAACTTGGAAAAGGGTGCCAAAGGGCCCAGCTGCAAACCACTCTGAAAAGGCAGGAGGGGAAATTCCCTCCACCCTTCCCCAGTGGCTGCCAAGTGATCTGGAGAGGCTGAAATTTTCCACCCCAGAGTCATCTATCGCAGAAGGGGAGGCTGGAGGAAGGAAAGGAAACCCCTCCACCACCACCCACCCGCCATTCCACATGGGGGGGAGGGGTTGTTCATGACCACCACCCCCGTGCCTTTCCTCTCTCCACCTCTCCATCATCTCTCCAGCCCTTCAAGCGTGCACAAATCGGCCGTCCCCTCTTACAACATTTTAGAAGCGACAATTTTAGAGTTCATCTTTTGCACTTTCTGTCTCTTGTGCTTTTATCGAAATGCGGGGTGAACGTGTCATACGATTGGCCTCTTTCTTCTCCTTCTTCCTCTTCCTTCTCCTCCTCCTCTCCTCTTTGCTTCTCCTCTCCTTCTCCTTCTCTCTTTCTCTGTCTCTGTCTCTTGTCTTCTTCCTCCTCCTCCTCTCCTCCTTCTCCTCCTCCTCCTCCTCTTTCCTGTTCCTTCTCCTCCTCTCCTCAAACCCCATTCTCTTCTAGCACTGATGATGTTACCTAGTTGGGTCATGAGATGTCTACAAGAAAACAGGCAAACTCAGAGAGCACCAAGGACTTTACAGTTATCCTCCTCTTCCTCCTCCTCTTTCCCTTTCCTCCTCCTCCTCCTCTCCGCAAACCCCACTCCCTTCTAGGTGATGTTACCTAGTTTGGTAATGAAACGTCTGCAAGAAAATATCCAAGCTCAGAGAGCACCCAGGAGCCCTCACGTCAACCCTGAGCCATAAATATTCTCCTTTATGAGCCTTCCTATTTATCAAAGAAACTCCCAGCCCGTCAGGGGAAGAGCACATCCGCTGCTAATCATTCCCTTATTTGGAGTTAATTTTCTTTTTTTGGGGCCCATTGATTCAGACCTGGGGGGGGGAGGGGAGAGGGGGCAAAGCATTCAGCGAGGGAACTGCCGAATCCCTTGACAGCAAGCATTAAGTTCCAACTTCCTACAGGGGCTGACAGAAGCCCATCAATAAACATTAGGAGGAAGACAGGGCTCATTCAATAGCCTGGCACCAAAACGGGAGGCGGAGAAGTTTCCAGAAGGATTTCGTCCGGTCTCTTGCCAGGGAACTAACTTTGCGCTTCCAGGAAGGAAGATGGCTGGTGGGGAGGCAAAGAAGAGGGAATCCCTGGCCGAGAGCCCCAAGCGGCCCTTGATAATCCCCCACCTTCCCCGAGCCACGTCCACACCTCGCACCGTTGGACTGTAGTGGTCCAAGGGCCCCGAAGGTGCTTTTGGGACAATCACCCCCTGGATGACAGAGGTTATCCCTGCTGACTTTTACCTTATACAATTTGGGATGAGCACCCTTGGAATGGGGTGGGAGCACGAATGGGTTTCCAGAGGAGAAAAAATGGCAGATGACAGGAACCACTTGCACCCCTCAGGTGACCCTGGGGACACAGAGAAACCTCTCCAAGTGGCTTCAAGGACCCTCTAAAAGGATGCAAATGACCAGCTGCAGGGAGAGGGAGAGGGAGGGAGGAAGAGACAGTGACAGAGAGGGAGGGAGGGAGGAAGAGAGAGGAGAGAGAGAGGGGGAGGGAGGAAGAGAGGAGACAAGAGAGCGGGAGGAAGGAAGAGATAGAGACAAGAGAGGGAGGGGGAGGAGAGAGGGAGAGAGGGAGAGAGGAGACAGAGAAAGAGAGGGAGGGAGGAAGAGAGAGGAGGCAGAGAGAGTGGGAGGGAGGAAGAGAGAGAGGGATGGGGAGGAAGGAAGAGACAGTGACAGAGAGAGGGGGAGGTTGGAAGAGAGAGAAGAAGGGAGGAAGAGATAGAGACAGAGAGAGGGGGAGGTTGGAAGAGAGAGAAGAAGGGAGGAAGAGATAGAGACAGAGAGGGAGGGAGGGAGGGAGGAAGAGAGAAGAGACAGAGAGAGCAGGAGGGAGGAAGAGAGAGGGATGGGGAGGGAGGAAGAGATAGAGACAAGAGAGGGAGGGAGGGAGGAAGTGAGAGAGGAGAGAGGGAGAGAGGGGGAGAGGAGACAGAGAGTGGGAGGGAGGAAGAGAGAGAGGGATGGGGAGGAAGGAAGGAAGAGAGAGGAGACAGAGAGTGGGAGGGAGAAAGAGAGAGAGGGATGGGGAGGAAGGAAGAGAGAGAGAGACAGAGTTTTTTTCAATGCTGTTAACACAGCAGGAGAATTTCCTGAGTGGCAATTAACATGCACAATGTAAACAAACACATTAAGGAAAACGAGTGAGAAGATAAACAGGAAAATTAGTAGACAGAAGAACCAGATGCTGCCATGCAGAACGTGCATTTCGAATGAGCCCAGAGCTCCCTTAAAAACCCACAAAGAATTTTAAAAAAAAATCATTTTGGGCACTGCCCGGGAGGGAATCGAGTCAGCAGCAGGCGCCTCTTCCCAGCAAGAAGACTTCAATTATATTACAGTTTAATTAGATCCACGATAAATAAAAACCAAAAGCAACGGGAACAGCCACAAACTCCTCACCAAACTCTGAACAGGCAGTAGTCCGGGTCCTCTGGATTCCCTCTTGCATTCACACAATCGTCTACATCTGAGCTAATAAAATTTGCTGTTCGCTTAGCATGCTATTACGGCTCAAAGAAATAAACCCCGTCATAGTTTAATACTACCTGGGAATGTTCTGCTTCCCAAGCCTTTTGGGGACTCTCTTGCCAATTTTTGCAAGCCAACATGTCGGGAATGTTGGCTTGCAACGTCCTTTGCCAGCCTGCTGCAGCCCCCTTTGCCAGTCCTGGGGGAGAGCAACAGATCGCCTTGTCAGTCCCCTGGCTGCTAGGCCCCACGTATCACAAAAGGCTCTTTATGTGCCTCTTTCCCCTGTAATTCAGATTCTTCTGAAGGCCTGTGGGTGGCCGGTCGGTCGGTCGGCCGGACAATCCCCTGGCCAGAGGACTTGGCTGGGAATAGGAGGTTAAAAGGTCTCTGCTTTGGAAGTGGCCACAATTGCTGCTGGAATGCTGGGCTCAGCATCTGGAGGGATGGAGGCCTGCCCGCAGCTGGATGGAGGCGTGCCAGCGGCTCAGAGGAGTGGAAGGCACAATTCTCTACTCTCTCACCTACTCCCCTCCCCTCCTCCAGCTGCAAGACCACCTTAGGAGTCCCCCTCATCCCAACCCACCCACCCAACAAGGCGTTTGGGGGTAGGCAATACGGGTGCCACACTTGGAGTTGAAGACTCTAGAAAACGTACAGAGAAGAGCAACCAGGATGATGAGGGGATTGGAGACTAAAACATACGATGAACGGTTGCAGGAACCGGGCCTGGCTAGTCTAGGGAAGATAAGGACCAGGGGAGACAGGAAAGCATCTTCCAATATTTGAGGGGCTGCCACAGAGAGGAGGAGGAGGAGGAGGCCAAGGTATTTTCCAAGGCACCTGAAGGCCAGAGAAAGAACAATGGATGGAAACTGATCAAGGAGAGATTCAACCTGGAAACAAGGAGAAACTTTCTGATAGTGAGAATAATCAACCAAGGGAACAGAAGTTGCCTTCGGAAGTTGTGGGAACTTCATCCCTGGAGACTTCCAAGAAGAGACTGGACTGCCATCTGTCAGAAGTGGTGTAGGGTCTCCTGCTTGGGTGGGTGGGGGTTGGACTAGATGACCTACAAGGTCCCTTCCAACTCTGTTATTCTATATTCAGTGGGACAGCTTGCCTTCGGAAGTTGAGGGAGCGTCATCCCTGGAGGCTTTCAAGAAGAGACTGGACTGCCATTTGCCAGAAACCATTTGTAGGGTCTCCTGCTTGGGCAGAGGGTTGGACTAGATGACCTACAAGGTCCCTTCCAACTCTGATTATCTGTTATCTGATGCCCACAGAAGTTGGGGGCACTTGGGGATTCGGCCGTGCCCCTCTGGTCCAGGCTGCTGATAGTCCACTCCAGAGGAAGACCAGCGGTCCAGTCTGGCGTCTCCATGACCCCCTCTTCCGGTCTTGGGTCTATAATTAAAGGCACCCTCCTTCCGTCATTCATCCGGAGGAAACGCAGCGACTTCCCCTTCCTCCCTGTTGTTATCCAGGTTCTGATTTTTTTTTTCTCTCCTTCTCCGTTTTCACATGTGGAGCCATGAGAGTAGGAAGGATCCTGACCCCAGCCAGATACAGAGGCCAAATCTGGCTTGCTGTCGCAACTGATGTTGTCAGCAATGCCCTTGGATGATTTTAACTCTGTTGTAGCGGGAAAAGGGGGGGGGAATCCAGAGTCCCACCAGCAAAACAGCTTCTCTGAGCCTTGATGAAGCAGAAGGACTGGGGTTGGCTGGCTGGCATGAAAAACTCAAGGGGGCTACCGTGGAGCCCCCAAACTGGGACCCATAGAGGCCATCTTGGGCCGGGCTTTTGTTGTGGTCCGTCGGCAGCCTGCAAAGATGGCAGCAGAGTCGGACAATGCGGAGGAACTACACTGTATTTCCAGCTGCAGCTAATGAAGGGAATCAGGGCCCGTTCCTCCCCCGTAAGCCAGGCAACCCATGTTGCTCTCTTCTCCGTTCCTCCGTACGTGCCCTAGGAGGAAGAGGGGGGTGGGCCTGGGTCTTCCTCTGACTTCCCTTTCCCTTGTTCTACTTCTTCCCTGCTCTGCCCAGCTGGACTTTGCCCTTCCCACTTTCTTCCAAAGCCAAGTTTCTGGAGCCACTCTCCCACTCCCTGCTGTTCGGCTTCCAAGCTCCAAGTGAGATTCTGACAGGGGCACGGCACATACAAAGCATCCTGAACCTAAGGGACTCCCAACTAGATCTTGCTTTAAAAAAAAAATAAGGCTGCAAATTCCTAGAGTTCTATGCTACAGCTGGGTTCAGGCGCAGCATGATATACAGTATATGCCATTATGATGGTTTCTTG